TACATTACTTTGTGTAGTGTAACATTTCACTTGGTGTAGGCCCTAGTGAAGGGTAGTTTCGAGACCCTTCGTGGTTGGGGACAGTGTGGCACTGTTCCACATCACTGTACCTCGGCTCTTGGGGTTTGTAGGAGCTGGGAGTCATTCCCAACTCGTAACTCTAGCGCCTAACCTGCTCCTCACCCCCCATGAGCAGGAGTGTATGGGAGGGCAGAGGTGGAGGGTGTACGGCAAGGCACAGCAGCGCCTAACCTGCTCCTCTCCCCCCATGAGCAGGAGTGTATGGGAGGGCAGAGGTGGAGGGTGTACGGCAAGGCACAGCAGCGCCTAACCTGCTCCTCCCCCCCCATGAGCAGGAGTGTATGGGAGGGCAGAGGTGGAGGGTGTACGGCAAGGCACAGCAGCGCCTAACCTGCTCCTCTCCCCACATGAGCAGGAGTGTATGGGAGGGCAGAGGTGGAGGGTGTACGGCAAGGCACAGCAGCGCCTAACCGGCTCCTCCCCCCCCATGAGCAGGAGTGTATGGGAGGGCAGAGGTGGAGGGTGTACGGCAAGGCACAGCAGCGCCTAACCTGCTCCTCTCCCCCCATGAGCAGGAGTGTATGGGAGGGCAGAGGTGGAGGGTGTACGGCAAGGCACAGCAGCGCCTAACCCGCTCCTCTCCCCCCATGAGCAGGAGTGTATGGGAGGGCAGAGGTGGAGGGTGTACGGCAAGGCACAGCAGCGCCTAACCTGCTCCTCTCCCCCCATGAGCAGGAGTGTATGGGAGGGCAGAGGTGGAGGGTGTACGGCAAGGCACAGCAGCGCCTAACCTGCTCCTTTCCCCCCATGAGCAGGAGTGTATGGGAGGGCAGAGGTGGAGGGTGTACGGCAAGGCACAGCAGCGCCTAACCTGCTCCTCACCCCCCATGAGCAGGAGTGTATGGGAGGGCAGAGGTGGAGGGTGTACGGCAAGGCACAGCAGCGCCTAACCTGCTCCTCTCCCCCCATGAGCAGGAGTGTATGGGAGGGCAGAGGTGGAGGATGTACGGCAAGGCACAGCAGCGCCTAACCTGCTCCTCTCCCCCCATGAGCAGGAGTGTATGGGAGGGCAGAGGTGGAGGGTGTACGGCAAGGCACAGCAGCGCCTAACCTGCTCCTCTCCCCCCATGAGCAGGAGTGTATGGGAGGGCAGAGGTGGGGGGTGTACGGCAAGGCACAGCAGCGCCTAACCCGCTCCTCTCCCCCCATGAGCAGGAGTGTATGGGAGGGCAGAGGTGGAGGGTGTACGGCAAGGCACAGCAGCGCCTAACCCGCTCCTCTCCCCCCATGAGCAGGAGTGTATGGGAGGGCAGAGGTGGAGGGTGTACGGCAAGGCACAGCAGCGCCTAACCCGCTCCTCTCCCCCCATGAGCAGGAGTGTATGGGAGGGCAGAGGTGGAGGGTGTACGGCAAGGCACAGCAGCGCCTAACCCGCTCCTCTCCCCCCATGAGCAGGAGTGTATGGGAGGGCAGAGGTGGAGGGTGTACGGCAAGGCACAGCAGGGCCTAACCTGCTCCTCTCCCCCCATGAGCAGGAGTGTATGGGAGGGCAGAGGTGGAGGGTGTACGGCAAGGCACAGCAGCGCCTAACCTGCTCCTCTCCCCCCATGAGCAGGTGTGTATGGGAGGGCAGAGGTGGAGGGTGTACGGCAAGGCACAGCAGGGCCTAACCTGCTCCTCTCCCCCGATGAGCAGGTGTGTATGGGAGGGCAGAGGTGGAGGGTGTACGGCAAGGCACAGCAGCGCCTAACCTGCTCCTCTCCCCCCATGAGCAGGAGTGTAAGGGAGGGCAGAGGTGGAGGGTGTACGGCAAGGCACAGCAGCGCCTAACCTGCTCCTCTCCCCCCATGAGCAGGAGTGTAAGGGAGGGCAGAGGTGGAGGGTGTACGGCAAGGCACAGCAGCGCCTAACCTGCTCCTCTCCCCCCATGAGCAGGAGTGTATGGGAGGGCAGAGGTGGAGGGTGTACCGCAAGGCACAGCAGCGCCTAACCTGCTCCTCTCCCCCCATGAGCAGGAGTGTATGGGAGGGCAGAGGTGGAGGGTGTACGGCAAGGCACAGCAGCGCCTAACCTGCTCCTCCCCCCCCATGAGCAGGAGTGTATGGGAGGGCAGAGGTGGAGGGTGTACGGCAAGGCACAGCAGCGCCTAACCTGCTCCTCTCCCCCCATGAGCAGGAGTGTATGGGAGGGCAGAGGTGGAGGGTGTACGGCAAGGCACAGCAGCGCCTAACCTGCTCCTCCCCCCCCATGAGCAGGAGTGTATGGGAGGGCAGAGGTGGAGTGTGTACGGCAAGACACAGCAGCGCCTAACCTGCTCCTCACCCTCCATGAGCAGGAGTGTATGGGAGGGCAGAGGTGGAGGGTGTACGGCAAGGCACAGCAGCGCCTAACCTGCTCCTCTCCCCCCATGAGCAGGAGTGTATGGGAGGGCAGAGGTGGAGGGTGTACGGCAAGGCACAGCAGCGCCTAACCTGCTCCTCTCCCCCCATGAGCAGGAGTGTATGGGAGGGCAGAGGTGGAGGGTGTACGGCAAGGCACAGCAGCGTCTAACCCGCTCCTCTCCCCCCATGAGCAGGAGTGTATGGGAGGGCAGAGGTGGAGGGTGTACGGCAAGGCACAGCAGCGCCTAACCTGCTCCTCTCCCCCCATGAGCAGGAGTGTATGGGAGGGCAGAGGTGGAGGGTGTACCGCAAGGCACAGCAGCGCCTAACCTGCTCCTCTCCCCCCATGAGCAGGAGTGTATGGGAGGGCAGAGGTGGAGGGTGTACGGCAAGGCACAGCAGCGCCTAACCTGCTCCTCCCCCCCCATGAGCAGGAGTGTATGGGAGGGCAGAGGTGGAGGGTGTACGGCAAGGCACAGCAGCGCCTAACCTGCTTCTCACCCCCCACGAGCAGGAGTGTATGGGAGGGCAGAGGTGGAGGGTGTACGGCAAGGCACAGCAGCGCCTAACCTGCTCCTCTCCCCCCATGAGCAGGAGTGTATGGGAGGGCAGAGGTGGAGGGTGTACGGCAAGGCACAGCAGCGCCTAACCTGCTCCTCTCCCCCCATGAGCAGGAGTGTATGGGAGGGCAGAGGTGGAGGGTGTACGGCAAGGCACAGCAGCGTCTAACCCGCTCCTCTCCCCCCATGAGCAGGAGTGTATGGGAGGGCAGAGGTGGAGGGTGTACGGCAAGGCACAGCAGCGCCTAACCTGCTCCTCTCCCCCCATGAGCAGGAGTGTATGGGAGGGCAGAGGTGGAGGGTGTACGGCAAGGCACAGCAGCGCCTAACCTGCTCCTCCCCCCCCATGAGCAGGAGTGTATGGGAGGGCAGAGTCTCGCCCCTACCATATGCAGCATGAGCATCCAGGCAGCCCCTTGCTCCCTTTCCCGTCAGTCCAGGCACCCATGCCATGCCGCACGAGCATGCCCACGCTAGCTCGGTAGGAGCACACAACACATGCGAGTCTGCCATGCCCGTTATCATGCTCGCTTGGAGGGAGCACACAAGCTCTCACCCTCTCCGCCTGCGCCTTATTTCCAGCCTAATACTCCCTTCACCGTCAAGAAAGCCACCTCTGTGTTGCCTCCCGGAGCACTTATTGTGTCTTGCTCCCCTCCCTACATTTCCTTGCCACCATTTTACCAATTCACAGAAGAATGGGGACCGGACTGGCACGTAGACGACAAAACGAAGTGGCCTTTTTCGAGCGAAACTTTCAGTGCGGGAATTTTCGCAGCATTCGTGAGATCAGGCATGTCACTGGGGGTATGGAAGACCCGCCAGATTGCCTTTGCATTGTTCGCTGTAAGTACAGGCACCTTGATTCTGAATATGTTTGTACTTGCATCCAGTCCAGAAACTCATTTCCATTATCGTGCCTTGCAGTTGGAATACCCGATCTTGACAAAGACCGCCGATGGAAAGTTGAGCAGCAAACCCGACTACAACAGGCCGTTGTATGAGGACAAAGTCAAGTGGTGCCGGAAATGGGTGGAGCATGCGGTCACCAACCTTGGCGTGAGCTATGATGACAGCAGGGACGTGTTTCTGTTCGGCAATGGCGTCCTCATCGATGCTAGTGACTACGCAGCTGGATTCAAGAAGACGACTATTGTTCTGCAGTAGCCTAGCATGTTTCCCGAATTTGTTGCTTCTATTGACTCAGTAAATTTAATGTTTAGGCACACTTAACATACTAGTTTAATAACAAAAAATAATATTATACATTTAAAAAACAATTATATAAACGGATAAATGAACATTTACGAGACTGAATTACACGAATGTATATGAAAGCCATCTAACTGTACCGTTTTCACTGTTTTTACTTTATCATAAATATTGGCAATTACTGATTGCATCCCATGCGCACTCCCTGGGAAATCCCTTGGCACGCCCAGCCCTCACAGCTCCGCGCGGGCCTCGCCTGGCCCAAAGGCAGGAACAGAGACGGAGAGCCCGGGCGGAAATGCAGCAGTGGAGTCCAGCGGGGACCCAGCCCTCGAGGCAGGAGGGGGGGCAGCAGAACTGGCTGTTGGGGGAGGCCCGGAAGCCACAAGCAAGGGGGCAACAGGTGCTGCCGGCGGGAGGGCAGCAGGAGCTGCTGGCGAGAGGGGAGCAGCAGCTGCTGGCGAGAGGGGAGCAGGAGCTGCCGGCGAGAGGGCAGCAAGAGCCGCAGGCAAGAGGGCGGCAGGCGCGGTCGGCAGGCGAGCAGCAGGTACTGCCGAAGGGAGAGCAGCAGGAGCGGCCGGCGGGAGGGCAGCAGGAGCTGCCGGCGGGAGGGCAGCAGGAGCTGCAGGCAGGAGGGCAGCGGGAGGTGCCAGCGGGAGGGCAGCAGGAGGTGCCAGCGGGAGGGCAGCAGGAGGCGCCAGCGGGAGGGCAGCAGGAGGTGCCGGCGAGAGGGCAGCAGGAGGTGCCGGCGAGAGGGCAGCAGGAGGTGCCGGCGAGAGGGCAGCAGGAGCTGCCGGCTGAGGGGCAGCAAGTGGTAGAAGTGGAGATGGCCGAGCTACAGCCAGAGGTGCAGCAGGACCAATCGGGGAACCGGGCCCGGCCACACGCAGGAGGGCAGCAGGAGCCGCCCGGGGGAGAGCAGCATGAGCTGCCAAGGGAAGAGCAGCACGAGCTGCCGGCAAGGGAGCAGCAAGCAAGGGAGCAGCAAGCGGTAGAAGTGGAGATGGCCGAGCTACAGCCAGAGGCACAGCAGGACCAATCGGGAAACCAGGCCTGGCCACAGGCAGGAGGGCAGCAGGGGCCGCCCGGGGGAGAGCAGCATGAACTGCCAAGGGAAGAGCAGCAGAAGCCGCCGGGGGTGGGGCAGCTGCCGGAGCGGGAGCAGCAAGCGGTGGATGTGGAGATGGCCGAGCTACTGCCAGAGCTGCAGCAGGACCAATCAGGGAACCAGGCCCGGCTGCAGGCAGGAGGACAGCAGGAGATGCTGGGGGAAGAGCGGCAGGAGCTGCCAACAGGAGGGCAGCTGGAGCTGTTGGGGGGAGGGCAGCAGGAGCGGTCGGAGGGGGAGCGGCGGGAGTTGCCGGCGCGGGGGCAGCTGGAGGTCGCTAGTGCGGACTCTACTAGCCAAGCGAAGAGAACCCGGGCACGGGGCCGAGGCGGGAGACGACACGCCCGTAAGACGCAAGGGCGGACTGGAAGCGGTGCTGCCGCACAGCAGGCGGAGGGGCAGCCGGGGGCGACCGAGACACCCCCGGGAGCCCCGCGGGTGGGGGGGCAGCCCCGGGTGCCTGGGGCGCCCCAAGGAGAGCAGCAGCCAGGGGGGCAGCCGGGGGTGACCGGAGCACCCCAGGGAGAGCAACAGGCAGGAGGGCAGCCGAGGGTGCCCCGGGCACCCCAGGGAGTGCAGCACGCAGGGGGGCAGCCGAGGGTGCCCAGGGCACCCCAGGGAGTGCAGCAGGCAGGAGGGCAGCAGGGGGTGCCCGGGGCGCCCCAGGGAGTGCAGCAGGCAGGAGGGCAGCCGAGGGTGCCCGGAGCACCCCAGGGAGTGCAACAGGCAGGGGGGCAGCCGGGGGTGCCCGGGGCACCCCAGGGAGTGCAGCAGGCAGGAGGGCTGCCGAGGGTGCCCGGGGCACCCCAGGGAGTGCAGCAGGCAGGTGGGGAGACGGGGGTGCCCGGAACACCCCAGGGAGTGCAGCAGGCAGGAGGGCAGCCGAGGGTGCCCGCGGCACCCCAGGGAGTGCAGCAGGCTGGAGGGCAGCCGAGGGTGCCCGGAGCACCCCAGGGAGCGCAGCAGGCAGGGGGGCAGCCGGGGGTGCCCGGGGCACCCCAGGGAGTGCAGCAGGCAGGTGGGGAGACGGGGGTGCCTGGAACACCCCAGGGAGTGCAGCAGGCAGGAGGGCAGCCGAGGGTGCCCGGGGCACCCCAGGGAGTGCAGCAGGCAGGAGGGCAACCGAGGGTGCCCGGGGCACCCCAGGGAGTGCAGCAGGCAGGGGGGCAGCCGGGGGTGCCCGGAGCACCCCAGGGAGTGCAGCAGGCAGGAGGGCAGCCGAGGGTGCCCGGAGCACCCCATGGAGTGCAGCAGGCAGGAGGGCAGCCGAGGGTGCCCGGGGCACCCCAGGGAGTGCAGCAGGCAGGAGGGCAGCCGAGGGTGCCCGGGGCACCCCAGGGAGTGCAGCAGGCAGGTGGGGAGCCGGGGGTGCCCGGAGCACCCCAGGGAATGCAGCAGGCAGGGGGGCAGCCGGGGGTGACCGGAGCACCCCAGGGAGAGCAGCAGCTAGGGGGGCAGCCGGGGGTGACCCGAGCACCCCAGGGCGAGCAGCAGGCAGGGGAGCAGCCGGGGGTGACCGGAGCACCCCAGGGAGTGCAGCAGGCAGGAGGGCAGCCGATGGTGCCCGGGGAACCCCAGGGAGTGCAGCAGGCAGGAGGGCAGGGAGTGCAGCAGGCAGGAGGGCAGCCGAGGGTGCCCGGAGCACCCCAGGGAGAGCAGCAGGCAGGGGGGCAGCCGGGGGTGACCGGGCACCCCAGGGAGCGCAGCAGCCAGAGGGGCAGCCGAGGGTGCCCTGGGCACCCCAAGGAGCGCAGCAAGCAGGGGGGCGATCGATGGACGACCAGGAGCAACAGTTGGAGGAGTGGTGTCGACTTTTGGAGTTTGATACCCCCATGGCGATTGCGGAGGAGTCAGAGGCGGACGAAGAACCTCCCATGCCGCCTTCCCCATGCCCCCGCTTTCCGTGTGACACGTGTTTCCACACTTTCGCTACGCGAGGGGCCGCTGCGAACCACATGAGGGTATGCCGGGCGGCTGAGGCGGAGAGGCGTGCACAGGCTCTCGGCTCGATTCCGTCTCTGGTGGAGATCGACACGCAGGAGCGATCGACGCCGCGGGAATTTGGGGACGAGGCGTGGGCTGGGGTTACGTCATGGGAATGGGAAACTTTTTTCAGTGTGGAGGCGGTTGGAGGGAGGACAGTGCGCCGGATCCCACAGCGGGCCAGGTCGGGGGTCTTAGACGCGCTCTGTTGCATCCTTAAGCGCTTGAAGAGCCAGCCTGGAGATGAAGCCGCTACCCTCCTACTCTTGGCGTTTCCGCGCCTTATCCTAGCCGTGCCTCCCAAGCCAGGCATAGGTCAGAAGGCGCTGATCACAGAGCGGTTGGGTGCGTTCTGGGAGGGGAGGTGGCGGGAGCTGTTCGACTCTGCCATGGTGGCGGCGCGGCCAGCAGTTCGCCCACTTTCCTACACTTGCTCTGACCAGGACCCGGATGCCATCCGCCTGTCACGGTGCCGATCTCGGTGCAAAGTGGGGGAGTGGAGCCGAGGATTGGCCTGCCTTACAGCAGGGGAGTTGGCTCGACCGTCTGAGGCCATGGTGCAGTCGCTGCGAGAGAAGCACCCGGCTAGCGCTGGCGAGGTACCACAGAGGGTCCGCGATTTCACCATCGATACTGCTCAGCGGCCTTCACTCACGACCGACATCCTGGCCAGAGCTATCCATACAGCCGCTCGAGCTTCAGCAGCAGGGCCATCGGGGTGGGTCACAGAGCATCTGCGCGACACCTTCCTCACTGAACCTTCCTGCCTTTCCCACTTGTTGGAAGTGTTCAACCAATGGGTGGCGGGACAGGTCCCCGATCGGGCTCGGCCGTGGCTCGCCGCATCCAACCTAGTCGGGCTTTCCAAGCCTAACGGCGACGTCCGGCCGGTGGCGATCGGGGAGGTGCTTCCTCGTATCCTTGCTCAAGCTCTCTGCATCTCGCTCTGCCCTGCGATGGTTTCCTACTTCCTGCCGTGCAACCAGCTGGGAGCGGGCACCAGGGTCGGGGCGGAGATTCTCACTCATTCTTTTCGGTCAGCGCTGGCCACTCACCCCGACTGGTGCGCGCTACAGATTGACGTCGCAAACGCCTTCAATTCGTTTCACCGTCATGTGATGTTCGATGGGCTGCGGGAGTCGCCTATCTCAGGGATGATCCCATTCTTGCGTGTACCTCCGAGCAGGCCCTTTCGTACAGAGCCTCGAGTCAGCACGGGGATCGAGGCAGGGGGACCCGCTCGGCCCTTTTCTTTTCGCGTTCACGCAGCAGCAGGTGATGGAGCCGGTTACTAGGGAGTTCAAGGACCTGCTTTTCCTCAGCTATGCAGACGATACCTATATTTTGGGGCCAGCGGCTAGGATTCTGGAGGCTTTTGGGGTGCTGCGGGAGCGGTTGGAGTGGGTGGGGCTGGAGGTGCAGGCACACAAGTGCCGGTTTTGGAAGAGCGAGGGCAAGGAGGTGGAGCGGGCACTGCCATTGGGGATGCAGCGGGTGGATGAGGGTCTTACTGTGGTGGGCGTGCCTATTGGGGAGGAGGTTTGGGAGGTGGTCCGGCTACGGGAGCCGCTTCGACAGTTGCAGGCGCCACCGCCATGGCTCCAATTGCTCGACCACCCTCAGATGGCTTCACACCTCCTCGCCATTGCAGTTTCAGCGCGGCCGATGTACCTCGCCCGGACTATGCCGCCGCGTCCGGAGGTGGTTGAGGCTTTTAGGGATTGGGATAGCTGTTTAGAGGATTGCTTTGAGCAGCTTTTCCCACCTGGCACTTGGGAGCAGGACCCCGACCGGTCTAGGCGCGCACGCATGCAGCTGCATCTCCCTGTGCGACTCGGAGGGTTCGGGATCCGAGCGGCGGCCTCTTTGAGCCCACTGTCCTATGTTTGTGGGTGGGCGCAGGCCGCGCGTGACATTGCACAGTTAGGGGTGGCGGGTGAGGAGGCGATGTTTGCAGAGTACCTCACCACTTCGACAGGGGCAGAGTTTCTTGACCCGTGGTTTGTCAAGGCTCTTGAGCAGCTGCCAGCGACTATCCGCCACGAGATACCGGGCTTACCTCTGTGTGTAGCGGCCCCTCCTGTTCGGCCTTTCCAGGCGCGGCAGCGGCAGTTAGCTGTAGAGGAGCTCCAGGCACTACGCCGCTTGGCTCGTGACGATGCTACCTTGGCCCGTTTCACATCCCTTCAGGGCCCGGGGGCGGGTGCATGGGTTTCGGCGGTTCCGGCTCACTCAGATCTCACATTCACTGCGGCTGAGTGGGGCATCGCTGCTGCTATACGGCTTGGCCTCCCAATTCAGCAGCTGCAGGTGGCAGGGAGGTGTGTTTGTGGCACAGCGTATGTTGACCCAGCAGACCCGCACCATGCCCTGAGATGCAAGCACCAGCATGGTCCATCTCGGGTGCATGATGAGGTGAAGTTTGCGGTGGCGAAGATCTCTAAGGCGTCGGGGGGGGTGGTGACAATGGAGGATAGTGTGGTGCTGCAGGGGAAGCGGGTTGATGTGGCGGTGCGACGACCAATGGCTGGAGAGGCTCACGCCCTAGAGATCAGCGTCGCGGACCCGCTATCGCTGTCTCCATCACTGCTGGGACAGTGCGGGCGTCAAATAGGTGTGGCGGCAAGGGAGTGGGAGCGTCGCAAAACGAGTGATTACGCGCCTCTGCTTGCACGCAACCGGGGCGTGCAGTTCACCCCTTTGATAGTTGAGACGTGGGGGTGTCTCGGCGGTCGTTTTCAGCGGTGGCTTCGTCAGCAGGGGGATGCGCACGTGGGGCTAGCTGTGTCGCGGGGGGCTTGTCGAGAGGACGACTCTGTGTTTTCGGCTTATCTTTTAGGGTCACTGAAGGCGCTGATCGGGGTGGCATTACAACGTGCGCAAGCCCGTGTCATCCTGCTTCGAGCGGCGTCTTCCACGGGGGGGATTAACGTAGATTTGGTGGACCGGGAGAGGGACGATGTCGATGTGGAAGGCGGGGCTCTCTGGGTAGAGGCCCCATACATGGTCGATACGCTGTTGTGATTGAAGGGGGGGGGGGGGGGGGGGGTGGGGTGTGGGATGGGATGTCTTGATGGGGTGTCTTGACTCGGCGTTTTGATTGGGTATCTTGAGGGGGGGTTCTATGTGTGTTGCATTTGGGTTCTTTTACTCATGTGCTTCTTCGTGAGTGGGGCAACACATAGGGAAAAATGGATGTCTGTGGTTGGGGTGGGGATGGGGAAAGAGAGATGCGGATTGCGATCGAGGGAAGTTTTTGGGTTATGTGATGACAGCTTTCGACTAGCCACGGTTGCTTCACAAAGGATGTGCGCGAGCAGTTCACGGGTTGTGTATTGAAACGGGATATGTGTAATAAGGGGGTCTGATGGTGAGGTGTACATGGGATTTATACCAAACTTACGTGGGTTAGTTAGAGGACGTTCTTGGCTGGTCTGTGTACTGTCACGATGTGCTGTCATGTAAGCGGGTGTCTGAAGTGAAACGATATTCAGGTGCATGCCAGGTTATTCAGGTGCATGCCAGGTTATTGGGCAGGTGCGTACACGGGAACCGTCACTCAGTGCAATCTTTGCATTTTTTTCGCAATTTCTACGGAAATTTCTACTTCGCATCCCATGCGCGATAGTGACGGAAATCCGCCGGAAATTGTATTTGTTTTCCATCAGAAATCATCGAACCTCTCTGAGATGGAAAACCGATGGAACATTTGGTGAGAAAACCAGTGCGCCACTCGTTGGAAATCCGTCGGAACATCTTGAAAGATTTCCGACGGATTACCATTGGTTTGACAGAAAACCGAACGTAAACCACCTGTTTTCAGGCCAGGTTTTTTGTGATGGCAGACGCCGACCGAGGCGGAGACGCACTTCAACGTGGAGCTTTCCGACGTGGCGATGACGTCAGCCATGCACGGCGTGCTGGGACAGACTTCTAGGACCACGCCGGAGCAGCTGCAGCGCGCGGTGAAGTACTCGCACTTGGCGGCGCTGCTGCACCACCCCGTGGACGTGGATAAGGCGGAGGGCAAGGGGTTCCTGGACGGCGATGTAGAGGATTACATCTCCTCGTCCGTCGTCGCGCCCGACTGCAAATACGCCAGCTACAGCTCTGCATAAGGAGGCTCACCAGCTGTGACGCCACGTGAGGAGGCTCAACCGCGGGTGGCTTCCCGCAGACGTCGCGAGTCAAGTGATGGTAGACTTGGATGAGCAAAATTGGCGGCTTGGTTATCGAAAGTTACCTTGGGTGAGTGAGAATCTGGTGTTGGAAGGAAAGGGCGGAACTGGGCGCTGCTGTTGCCGTGCACCTAGCCTACTGCTGCCTTTAAGGCTAATAAGGGCTCCGCCCTACTATTTGTGTATTCGTGCCCCGTAGCGTAATGTGACTGTCTAATGGCCTACTATTTGAAAGCACAAATATCGGATGGTGAAATGGGTACACAGGCAAACTCTGGAAGGTGTGTCGCGTGAAATTCGGTGCTGCGAAATTGCAGGCATATTGAATGCAAGAGTCGGAACGGAAAGATAACCAAACCAAACCAACTTTCTGCAAGATGTTTGCGAAAACCAACTTGCGACGCGACTTCTCGGATAATTTCGCGCGTCAGGTGCTAGATGGAGGGAGTGATTCGGTTGTGTTACCGTTGCGACGTGCCAATGTCGTTATCGTGTAACCTCTCTCAGAATCAAAACGTGCGTGGTGTTACATGTACGTGTTTCTGAAATACACGCAAGTTCGTTATCTGTGCGGCACCAATAATGCATACAGAATAGCGCCTTAGGGACTCTAGCCTGAATGAAATTGCTGCGAAAAGAACTTAGGGTTACTCTAGCCCTAGAGGGAACAAACACTTCGCAGAGACAACTTCGAGCGCGTTCTTATAAAATCATAATTGATTTCCGTAATTTTGCCGCCGAACCGCCATGGCGCCGCCACTCGCTCTTCTTGCCTCGCTGTTACTACTTCTCCAATTGACCGGCCTTTCGTTTCGGCCATTTGCGGCGGCTGAACCGAGAAGCGGCGGGACGATGACGGTGGGGGTGGTGGGAGATACGAATCAGATGGAGCGAATCGCTTTGCTGCATAAGGCACGTTGGGGCGTGTGGTATGCTGCATAAGGCACGTTGGGGCGTGTGGTATGCTGCATAAGGCACGTTGGGGCGTGTGGTATGCTGCATAAGGCACGTTGGGGCGTGTGGTATGCTGCATAAGGCACGTTGGGGCGTGTGGCTTGGCTGTCCGCACACACCGTCCTTAGACACACAGACGGCGGTCGCACACGCCGTGGCTCTGCGTGCGGTGCACCTTCCACAATCTTTGTGCTCCGCCCTTGCTGCCCATCCACGCTTTCCTTCCTCCTGCCTTCCCCTGCCTTCGCCTTTCCCTGCCCGCGCCTTCCCCTTCCCGCGCCTTTCCCTGCCCGCGCCTTCCCCTTCCGCGCCTTCCCCTGCCCTCCCCTTCCCCTGCCCTCATCTTCCCCTGCCCCCGTTTCCCCCTGCCCATCTCTTATATCCCCCCCTGCCCCCGTTTCCCCCTGCCCATCTCTTATATCCCCCCCTGCCCCTGTTTCCCCCTGCCCACATGCACGCATGGCAGTCCGCATATTTACGGCCTGGAATACTCCTCACTGCTGCCCCACAAACCCGATCGCTCTCCCAGAGGGACCTCCCATAACATCGTATCTCCATCTCACTGTCCCCGCATCTTCCCCTGTCCGCATCTTCCCCTGTCCGCATCTTCCCCTGTCCCATCTTCTTTTCACGTCCATACCCTCGCTCGCCTTCTTCCCACATGCACGCATGGCCTGGAATCCTCGCTGCTGCCCCCCTAACATCATCGCTCTCCCACAGGGACCTCCCAGGATATCGTAACCCCATCTCCCCTTTTCCTCGCCGCCCCCTTCCCTCGCCGCCCCCTCCCCTCGCCGTCCCCTGCCCTCGCCGTCCCCTGTCCGCATCATCGTCCCCTGTCCGCATGCAGGCATGGCAGTGACTTAATGGCTGCACTCCTTTCAGTTGCCGCCCAAAACCATCTGCCTCCCACAGGGGCCACCAATATATATCATAACCTCATCTCATTCTCCTCCTGGTTCCCTGCCCTTCTCCATCTGTTCACATCCATGCCCTGGCCTCGCCTCCTTCCCTCATGGACGCCTGTCCACATCGTCTTTCCCTGCCCACATGCCTGCAGGCATGGCAGTCCGCCTACGGTCTGGATCCGCCCTCTCTGCTGCCGCCCAAGACCATCTCCCTCCCGCGCAGTCTCCCTCATATGGCAACCCTATCTCACCGTCCCCATCCTCTCCTCTCCTGCCATCCTGTCCCCATCCTCTCCTGCCCTCCTCTGGGCCCCTACTTTTGCTTTCCTTGTCGCATGCAGGCATGGCAGTCCGCCTATGGCTTGGATTCCCCCTCTCTGCTGCCGCCCAAAACTATCTCCCTCGCGCACAACCTCCCGCCGCCCGCCCACCTCGAGGACTGCACCGCCCGCACGTCCGCCAGACAGGGGGCCGAGAGGGCCGGGGCGGCGTGGGCGGTGCCGGGCGGCAACGGCTCGTCCTGTTGTGGATGCTCGCCGCAACCACCATGGGTGGGTGGGTGGTGGTTGGTTTGCTGCATGGATTGACAAGAGATGTTATTGTAGTTGGCTTGGTTGGTGCCTGGTAGGAATGGTTGTGGGAAGGGAATACCTTTGAGTCCGGTTGGTTAGGGCTTTGGGTTAGGATGGTTAGGGTTTAGTTTAGATTTTACGGTTCACGAAAGGGATGTGAGGTGTTCGGGTCTCTGCCTCCCCCTCCCATCCGTCATCCTACCCCACTCTAGCCGTACGGCCCTCAGGAGTCATGACAGCAACGTGGCAATGACAGGCACGGTCGGAGAAATAAGGCAGCCCTGTTTGTCAACCCTACTCCTCCCCCGCCTCATTTCCCCCCTCTCCTCCCCACTTCCCGTCATCCTCCCCTCCCTCAGGTGTACGGCCCTCATGACGGCAGCCTGACCATGACGCATACTGTCGGAGGAACAAGGCAGCTCTTCTCCATCCCCCGCCTCACTCCCTCCCCACCCTTCCCCCGTCTACCCCCTCCCCTCCCCTCCCTTGTCTCCGCTTCCCCTGGTGTACGGCCCCGACAAGAGCAGCCTGGCCTTCACGCGCACAGTGCAGCGGGACATGTGGCTCTCGCACTTTCCACTGGGTCAGGTGCCTGCCCTGCTCATAGCATTGTTGTTGGCCCCCCTCCGCTCCCCGTCCAGGTATTCGGCCCTGACGACAGCAGTCTAGCCCTCACGCGCACGGTGCAGCGGGACATGTGGCTCTCGCAGTTCCCTCCGGGCTCCTGTGACGGAAAACGCCTGCTCATTGTGCCGTGGGTGCTGCCAGCCAGTGGTGACGCAGGGCTGGGGGCAGGGGGAGGAGGAGGAGGAGTGGAGACGGGGGAGAGTGGTTCGGAGGGGTTGGGAGGTTTGGAGGGGCTGGGTCTGCAGGTGCATGTGATGGGTGCGCTGCTGGGGTTGGCGGTGGAGACGGGGCGAGTGCTGGTCCCCCTCTCAGGCTCCTTTAGCTATGCCAACAACTCAGCATGTAAAGGTGCGTGCGATTTGATCTGATGCACATTCATTGTTTCAAGGGGGGAAGAAGCAGGTGCATGTGATGGGTGTGGGTGGAGACCGGGCGAGTGCTGGTCCCAGTATCCGGCTCCTTCAGCTTCGCCTTCAGCTCTCTTCAGCATGTAAAGCTGCGCTGCGTCTCTGGTTCAGTTGGCACTCTTTGGTGGCATGGCATGTAATGGGAGCACTGCTGGAGAGTGGCGCTGAAAGTTTGGCATGCGCACGCACGTGCATTGCATGCGATGGAGAGTACGTGCGCGCACTCTCCTCACATCACCTCCTTTCCCCCCCTTCATAACCATCTCCCCACTTCCCCCTCGTCCCCCTCCCTCCTTTCCTCCTTCTATCCTCCCTCCCTCCCTCCATCCCCCCTCCAATGATCCTCTCCCCTTCCATCCGTCCGTCCAGACATGGCCAGCAGGACTATTGGGGGTGCTTCTTCTACTTCCTTTCCCTATTCAACTATTCAATCCAACCATATCTCTTTTCCCCTATTTCTCTCCTCTTTCCTGCTCGCCCCCCTCGTTCCCTTCCCTTTCTCCCTCCCTCCCATCCCAGCCTCCATCCATCCATCCATCCATCCATCCATCCATCCATCCATCCATCCATCCATCCATCCATCCATCCATCCATCCATCCATCCATCCATCCATCCATCCATCCATCCATCCATCCATCCATCCATCCATCCATCCATCCATCCATCCATCCATCCATCCATCCATCCATCCACCCACCCACCCATCCACCCATCCATCCGTCCGTCCGTCCGTCCGTCCGTCCGTCCGTCCGTCCCTCCATCCATCCATCCATCCATCCATCCATCCATCCATCCATCCATCCATCCATCCATCCATCCATCCATCCATCCATCCATCCATCCATCCATCCATCCATCCATCCATCCATCCATCCATCCATCCATCCATCCATCCATCCATCCATCCATCCATCCATCCATCCATCCATCCATCCATCCATCCATCCATCCATCCATCCATCCATCCATCCATCCATCCATCCATCCATCCATCCATCCATCCATCCATCCATCCATCCATCAATCCATCCATCCATCCATCCATCCATCCATCCATCTATCCATCCATCCATCCAGCCATAGCCCAGGAGAGTCAGTGGGGTTGTTTCCTCTCCCCCATCCCCACCTTTTGGTTTTGCTTCTCAGTTCTTTCTTTCCCACAATTCATCCCCCTGCCCCCCCATCCCATCCCGCCTCCATCCCTCCAGCCATGGGCCAGCACGGCCAGTGGGGGTGCTACTTCTCCCCCATCGCCTCCTCTGACTGCTCCAAGCGCGCACAGAAGGAGATGCAGAGCGGTTCACTGCGGTCGCGGTGCAGCGGAAGGCACATTCGCAATGTGGCCCTCTCAGCGGAGCCCATAGTCTGTCTGCACCCCGACTTTGACCACAACGAACTCAAGCTGCACGCTGCTGTTGTCACGTAGGTGTATCTGTGTGTGTGTGTGTGTGTGTGTGTGTGTGTGTGTGGGTGCGTGCGTGCGTGCGTGCGTGCGTGCGTGCGTGCTCTCGTGCGCGTGTGTGTTCTTTTTTCTGGTAATGTTTGTGTCTACATTGTGAATGCAGAGCCCATTGTCTGTCTGCACCCCGAATGTGACCACAACGAGCTCAAGCCGCATGCTGCTGTCGTCACATGGGTTCTGTTTTTTGTTCTGTTTTTGGCTCTGTTTTTTTTTCTCTTCTTTGTTCTGTTTTGTGCTCTATTTTTTCGTATCGTTTGTGTCTAATTTGTGAATGTGCTGTTTCCTCTCTTTCAGGAGCCCATACTTTGTCTACGCGCTGACTTTGACCACAACCAACTAAAACTGCACGCTGTTGCCAACAGCCGCCTTTCTGATTTGCGTCACTCCCTCCCACTCACCTGTCCCTTGCTCCTCAGCAAATGGGGAGCACCTCACCTGCAGCGTCCAGATACACTGTACCGCCCAACATGCCGGCCCCCCACTCCTGACAACCCCTCTCTCTCCGTGTCTCAGGTGTGTGTGTGCTTGTAACCACACTGTATCGAACCACGCTGTATGTAACCACTCTGTATGCAACCACTCTGTATGCAACCACTCTGTATGCTTGTAACTATGCTGTATCCTTGTAACACACTGTATGCTTGTAACCACTCTACATGCTTGTTGTAACCACACTGTATGCTTGTAACCACGCTGTATGGTTGCACTGTATGCATGTCAATCATACGCCACTCGTCATCCCTCTGCTTTCTCACCTAGTTTCCTATCCTCACCTGCTTCTCATCCCGTTGCATTCCATCCCACTCCACCACTCTCCACCGCTCTCCACCGCGCTCCACCGCTATCCACCGCTCCCCACCTCCTCAGGTGCGTTGGTGGCGAGCCCAGGCCACACGGTTCCTCATGCGCTGGCCCTCGCTGCATCTCTGCCACGTCACCAACCTCATCCGCCACGTCAGCATCAGCCACCACGTGGCTTCCAGGCTGGCATTCTTCGAGGACACGCAGGCAGAGATCATAAGAGACGTGGCTGCTGACACGGCAGGGGAAAGCACCAGGTCAGATGTGAGGAAGAGCAAACAGGCCAAGGAGCTACAAGGCATGGAGTTGGGTAAGGGGGTGGAGATAGAGAGTGTAAACAAAGCCTCTTGGGCCACTATAGGGGGAAGGTGCAGTGTGTGTGAGGAGGAAGGGTGGAAAGGGGAGGTGATGGCTGGGGGAGTGGTTGGAGAGAGTTGGGATATGCAAGCAGGGGTGAGTAGTGCTAATGTGAAGAAAGCAGAGTTGGAGAAGAAAGAGAAGCATGTGCTGTACTATGTGCAGAAGCAGAACAATCTCGTGGTCGGGGTGGGTAGAGAGCCGTACGTCATGCGGCCACTAGCGAGTCTGGTTATAGGGGGTACGCCTGGAGAGGCGAATGGAGAGGGGAAGGGAGCAGCAAGGGGGAACGGAGGAGGGGAGGAGGAGGCGGAGGAGGAGGGGAAAAGGAGGAGATTAGAGGAGGAAGAGGATGAGGAAATGGAGGAAAAGGGTGCATTAGAGGGGAAGGTTCGAGAAGAGGGGAATGTTACAGCAAGCGCTGGGGAAGGAAAAGGAGGAGGAGGAAAAGGAGGGGGAGGGGGCAGTGAGAGTGGCATGCTGAGTGCGCTCATGCATCAGGTGCATCAGCTGCGCCTGGTGGAACCCCACCTCGCCCACGTGTGGCTGCACACGCCCTCCCAGGTGAGCAGATTCTTAGGTGAGGAAATTCTCAGATGGGCGCTGGTTTTCCTCCCATCTCCGCTGTCATCCCCACCCTGGTGCCCCTCTCAACCACCTCTAGCTTTATCATCTCTCTCCCCCTACCTCCCCCTCTTTCTCTCTCTCTCTCTCTCTCTCTCTCTCTCTCGCTCTCTCTCTCTCTCTCTCTCTCTCTCTCTCTCTCTCTCTCTCTCTCTCTCTCTCTCTCTCTCTCTCTCCCATTCCCACTCTCCTGTCCCCGTCTCACAATCCATACCTCTCCTCCTTCCCCCCCTGCTACCCCACTCGCAATCTATCCTCCAGGCTCTGATAGCCAAGGCTTCCGACTACCATGATTGGACGTTCCTCCATTCCACCAATCAGACAAGCGCTACATCCACTGCACCTGGAGACACAGGAGCATCAGCAGCAGGAGCAGCAGAGCCGGCAGCAGAAGCGAGGGCTCTGGCCAGTCTGCTGGTGGCGTCTCAGGGGGATTTCTTTGTGGGCGGGCTCGGGTCGCACTGGGGAAGGCTGGTCAATGAGTTGCGGTCCACTAATGGCCGGCTTTTCAACGTTTTTGTTGCCATGGATGATAATGAATGGTGATACCGTAGCTACCGTAGGTACCGGTACCAATACGGTGATTGCACGCATAGCCCATTAGCACTTTTGAGTCGACTCAAAAACCAACGAGCACTCCATAGCACACAATTTTGGCTGTTGTAGTGATATGTACAAGCTGAGCTATAATTCCAGATACTGGTACGGTAATTCTGCTACAACGGGTGGATTAAGAGCGTGTTCCTACAGCCTCTTATGAACCTAAACCTCATGGCAAACGCAGTCCTACGGGAGGATGTCGTTGCAAATGCCCGTCCATGTAGATCCTCAAAAGGGGAACGCTTGCAATTTGCTGACTGGAGGACGTGCGGGGACTTTCGACAGTTCTCGATTTGTAAGAGGCTGCCTTTCCAACAAACTCCTTGGTGAGGCGATCAATCATGGAATCAACCATCTTGCAAGCAACGGACCCTGCAGTCAAGGCTTGTTAGAATCACAGTCACTAGACCACTAGGGGCTTGTTAAGTAGCAAATCAGTGTGCCCATAACCCCCAAGCCAGCGAGCTTGTAACCCTTCATTAGGATCAATCGGACATCTCCAATGCTGGTCTTCTGACACCCCCTTTCAGTGGGATGGCTTAGGACACGGCATAGTGGTAGCGTCAGCATGTGCACACATGAAGATTCGAACCAGAGACCTTAGCTTTGAAACCATGTCAAGAATCTAGTTAGATACTGTGGGTTATGGGGGTACGAACGGGAGGAAACATAACGAGAGGGTCTCGGAAGAAGAGGTGCTTCAATAATGACAAGGAGTACAAGTTATAGAAGAAGAGAAGGTGGCAAGGGGGTACACCACCAACAGACAGAAAACTAACATGATACTACACTAACTATTATACATACAATTGTATGTAAGAATATAGCATCCCGTGTTAACTGCATGCAAGACATAGCCAGTGAGGGGCAGCTCAAAACCCAAAGTGTTGCAGTCACGGGAGCATCAACTTGAACCACTGTGGTTGAACCCCCACGGTAGGTGCCCGGCTGCGGTTGAACCCCCGCGGCAGGTGCCCGTTGTGCGCGTCAGGGGCGAACATGCCCAGAAACAACGGAACCTAAACGAGATGCGGTGGCGAATTGTTGCTTCATGGACGAGAGAAATGAGGGGAGGAAGATTAGGGAGAACAGGTGCAGCAGAAGGGGCAGGACAAGCGTCTGCCTTGACATAGCCACCACTCCCCCCACCCTCCTCCCCTCCCCACCAACGCGGCACACACAGCAGTTGCAGATGCAGAAATGAGGAGCAGGAAAGGGGAGGCGGGGGGCTTCAAGGGGGTTTCAGCACCCCCATTTGCGAGACGTCCAGCCCCGCCACCTTCCCCCCCACAGCTAATGCCACAGGTGGGGCGTAGCAGGGCGGTGGGCAGGGCACGGGCTCGTCGCCTCCATTGGCAGGCCACTGGCGGAGGTGTTGGTGCGTGCGTAAATGCGCTGGTGGGCTCGTAGGCGCGTGTGCAAGCGCGCTGGCGAGCCGCTGACGTTTTCGCTGTCGCATGTGCAAACTCGCTGGCGAGTCGCTAGCGGGCCGGTTGACAAGCTCGGAGATGGGGCGAGCGAGTGCCGCGACATGCGCCTTCGCACAGCTTGCCATCGTTAGTGCAGCAACTTCGGGACGACGAGCTAGCGTGTCAACGAGGTGACGAGGCAGACGGCCAACGTGATGAGGGCAGGGATCGTAATGGGTGCTGCAAGGGTCGCCATTACAAAATAAGCTTACGTCCTTAGACCGTAATAGCTCTCGATACCATGTCAGAATCCTAGTCACTAGACCACTTAAATAGAATGGCTTGTTAAGTATCAGGTCAGTGTCGGAATATATAAGTTTATATTTTCTATATGTAATAGCTTGTAGGATTGGTGACTGTACTTACAACATTTTCTTGTTTGGTGGTGCACCCTTCTTGTTTCTTCTTGCCTATTTGTACTGCTCGCTCTATAGTGAACGCCTCTTTTGTTGGTCTATGAGGATCGATAGGATTGAGTTCAGAAAAGAGCGAATGCATTGAATGATCCTCATGGGTACAACACGAGGCTATATATAGTCTCGACGCAAGGCCAGTAACCCAGGCAAAGGTTCCGAGGGTCGTGAAGCGTCTCGAACAGAGCCTTTCTGAATTCCATAAAAGGCAATTCGGTGGCAACTGAAAGGCCTGGAATTCGGTACACGCAAGCTGGTTTGGTGCTATAACTATAGTAAAATATAGGAAAGCACCTAACCTAGGAAATCAAGCATAAGCATGCGTGATTAAAAAAAAAACAAAAAAAAAAGCTAGAAATAGCATGATAAAGGCAAGGCAGCAAGCAAAGCTAGCGTAAGCCATCGTACTCTCACACGTCCCCCCCTCAAAGCTGGGTGGCGCGAGAAACACCCTGCTTGACAAGATAACCTTTGAGAGCACAGCGTGCGTTGCCCATATCAACTTCTGCCACCCAACTGTCTTCCGATGGGTCATATCCCTTCTTGCGTATCAGGAACTCGAGGGTCTTGCCGCTGCTACGCCGATGAGTGAGAACGCGGTCCGCCTGTTCAACCCACTCCTCGTACTCTGGCTCATCTTGTACAAGAAACCCTACAAAGACCCCAAACAACAGTTTGAGGGACGACAGCTACCACCACC